ATGGCCGTTTAAACCCCACGCGCTAGCTTTTCCATGGGCCCTGCTCTGCTTGGACCCTGTGCTCCGAGGACAAACTGCTATAAGGTAGAGTCCTGCCCTGCGTGGTCACAGCCACGGGACAGACCGTGCAGTGGACGGGGGACAGATGGGACGTCTACCCTTGGGAAACAGTGTCGGGGGAAAAGCACACTCTCCCGAGAGGTCGGACAGGAAGCTGACGGAGTTCGAGGCGTTTGGTGGGAAAACTTTAGTCATGTCAACGTTCCTGTTGTCGTCAGCCCAGTTCTGGAGGCTGTGCCTTGTCCTAAACTGGGGACACTAAGCTGAAATCTCAGAGCTGAGCTCCCTACCCTGCCTCTCATCTGCCAGAAGATAAAGCCTCGAGCGCTGTGCTCCCTCCCGAAGGACGCAGGGGCCAGCGTCTGTGCTGAGCATCGCTGCACAGTCCTGCAGGGGGGAAGCTGGGACACTGAACCCCGGGACGGGGTGACGGCCAGTGACGGGGTCCCCGCCGTGCGAGCCCCGTGTGCCCAGCATCCCGCGTCCCGGCATCGCCTGACTCACCAGCACCTCCTCGGCCCGGCCGCCTCCCCGGGAGACCTCAGCCGTCTTCTGAGCGTTAGCCCCGGCCCCGTGCTCCTCGGGGCGGCCGGCGTCTGCGGGCTGCTCGGCCTCCGGGTGAGCCTCCAGCATTCTGGCGGGAGGAGGGCCCATCAGGAGGCGGGGGCGGGTGACAGCCTCCCCACCCTCCTCTGACGGGCGTGAGGGGCACCTCGTCACCACAGCCCATCTCCCTGCTCGGCGCTTACACGCTGACCCAGTGAAGAGTCATCCAGTGCCTGGACACCACGGAACAGGTCGCACGTGGCCTCTCCTGGGCAACCGATAGAAAATGCTTTAATTTACAGAAACTCGGTGGAAACGCTGGCCGCCAGCACTGTCTCAGATTCATGATCGGGGCAGAATCAAGGGGAAACTTAGGAACTCAGTGGGCACCCACCTGAAAGCATCAGATAAGACACCCACCTAAAACATCACATCAGCCGCTGTGTTGATGGGTAGCTTTTCTGTCCCCTCCAGAGGGAGACGTTGGGCCGACTGGGGCAGCCACCCGAGGGCCCAGCTCCTAGAGAGCCAGGGAGCCGCTGCCCCCGGGCTCCAGCGCCTTCCGGTCCCGCTCTCCAGCTGCGGCCTCAGAACCGGAGGGCGCGTGTCAGTGCGCAGCCGTGTGAGGGCGCAGGGCCCCCTCGCCTGACCCACGAAGCTCACGGCGCCTGAAAAACACAGCAGAGCCGGGCGAGCTGGGGCTCCCTGAAAGCGGGGGCGGCGTGCCCCCGGACTCCCCTCGGCTGACCTCCCCTCCTCTCCGTTCTGAGGACACCGGGCTCCTGACCGGACAGGGCCGAGGCCGGCACAGGGGGTCCAGGACCTTGTCACACAGAGCACTCGGGAGGGGCGGCCGCGGGAGGGAACTCAGGTTATAGCGAGGACGCGTTCGTCATAAACGTCTAACTACAGATGACAAAGCCTAAAAGTGAACAGCTTTGCCCCNGTCATAAACGTCTAACTACAGATGAGCCTAAAAGTGAACAGCTTTGCCCTGGCCGGCGGCCCGGTTGCTGGGGCAGTGTCCCTGCACCAACAGGCTGCGGGTTCGAGTCCCAGTGGGGCACATCCCGGGCGGCGGGTCAGTCGCCCGTCAGCACGTGCACGGGAGGAGCCGGCAGGTCTCTCGCTTTCTCCCTCTCTCTCCTTTCCTCGCCGAAATCAATTTTAAAAACCACTTCAGAAAATGAACAATTGGACCACGGAGACAGGAAAGCAAGCTGGGCTCAGCGTCTGTTTTCTCCGGGAAGACAATCGAATCTTCCAACAACAAAAACTAGCAGCCTAATCACCGGTCGTTCCTTCCCCGGGCGGGTCGCGAACGTTCTGGGCAGACCTGGCCTGAGCTCGTCGCTGCCGTGACCCCGTAAAGGCGCCTTCTTCTCGCTTCTCTAAGACAATGAACCCCGTGCCCTGGGCCCCGAATCCTCCCACCCCTCGGTCTAGGAAGACCCCGTTCCTCACGCTTGGGCCAGACGCTGTCCCCTCACCGGTCCATGGCGGTCACTTAGCTGGGGCCCAGTCCTGCGGGCCATGCCCCCCACGGGTGCTCCCCCCGGAGGGAAGGTGGGTTCATTCTAAACGGCCGCCCGTCTTAAAGGGACGCACCCTTCCCTCTCCCCACGCCCCACGGAGCTCACACGAGACGAAACACAGCCCGACCTTTACGGACGTGACGGGAGCTCAGCCCACTCACCACCAGAGGGACGTGTCCACTCACACAGGGACCTGGGCACGGCACATCCCCCCCCAGGTGGCCGAAAAAATGTTTCGTATCAAGTGTTCAATGTGCACTCAATAGTAAGAACTATCCTCCAAGCACACATTCTCGAAGAAATGTAAACTGTCTTTTAAAATACCTTTGTATTGATTTTAGAGAAAGAGAAATGGAGAGAGAAAAAAATCTATGTGATAGAGAAACAGCCATCGGCTGCTGCCCGGGTGGCCCTGGCCAGGGGTGAAACCCACGGCCTTGGCACATGCTCAGCGGGAATCGAACCGGCAACGTTTCGGTGCAGGGAAGGTGCTCGACCCGCTGAGCCACGCCGGCCAGGGCTACGCCGACTTTATGTCAGAACAAACAGAGATGCTCACGGGGAGAAAGAAGACCTGCCGGTGACACGGGAGCGACCGTCAGACTCTCGCCACCTCGCACGATGCCTGGCACCTGCCGTCCCCGGCCTGTGAGGGTGGGGAGACGAGAGGTCGGGGGAGGCACTGCCCCGCGTCAGACGTGACCCGTCTCCTCTCCTGCAGGGTCCTGGGTGTGTAATAGTCAGAGACCTGGGGGGAGCACAGTGTGAGAAGCGACTCCGAGGGCGCCCGACGTGGGCCTGCACCCGAGACCACCCGAAAGACCGGGCGTCCTCGCGGACCCACCTAAGACACAGAAACAAACCCAACGGGCAGCCCAAACAGGGAGACAAAAAACAAGCCCCAAGGAACACGAGAAGTCTCCAGAAGCAGAGACGAAGGAAATGGAGAAAAGCAACCGCCCACCGGAGAGAGCTCAGGGTGCTGACCGTAGGGTGCGCAGCAGGGTGAGATGAGAAACCGAGGCGGCCGAGCCCTGGCCCCCGCCGCACTGCGGGGGGTTCCAGCCGCGTGGGGCGCCCGGTTCCGAGGCGGCCTCTGTCCTGGACCGGCCTGTGTTAGCCCAGGGGGCCAGCGCCTGGTGCTCTGTCCCTGCGGTCAGCGGGCCCTGGCCCGGTGCAGCGTCCTGGGCCTGTGCCGCACTCACTCCTGCGCACGGCTTCTTCGCGGGCGTTCGCTCTGCAAGATGCCCTCGGTCTCTCCATCATTGAGTTTGAAACTCTAGGTTTAATTTTAACCTGCACCAAAAAGGTGAAACAAAAAACCACAGCTGTTTTACAAGGAGGCACATTCGCACACTTCATGGTTTTGACCCCGGGCTAGAGTCTGAGTACGATCATTTATTGTACACNTTGAAACTCTAGGTTTAATTTTAACCTGCACCAAAAAGGTGAAACAAAAACCACAGCTGTTTTACAAGGAGGCACATTTGCACACTTCATGGTTTTGACCCCGGGCTGGAGTCTGAGTACGATTATTTACTGTACATTAAGAATTTTATTTTTGCAGGATTAACTTTCTTCTATAACAGTGAACGATACTCACAGCGATTCCTGGTGCCGGAGGCGCTGAGGGTGTTCGGGTCCAGCCCTTTGGGGTTGTGACGTGGCTGGAACGCTCCGAGGCGGCTGAGCTCTTTGGCCCCACACAGGCTCAGCCGCCCAGGAGCACTCGGGGCTGCCCCGCGCCCCCCGACTTCCCGCCGAGCTGCTGCTCCCACTTCCTTTTACTGAAATGATTCTGTTTCCTGTAAGTGGCCACAGCTCCCCTCTCCTAAAGCTCAGCGAGCGGGGCCAGAGGTGGTGACTTAGGTCCCTGACTGGGAGGGAAGCAGCGCTCCAGGGACGGGCAGGGCAGGGACGTGGGACCCAGAAAAGAAAATGGAACGTGAGGAGCTTCTGAGGCCACGGAAACCACGAAGGCTGAGAAAAGCGGCAGGCCCGTCGGCAGGGGTCGGGGCCACGGTGCACTGGGGTCGGCAGGGGTCGGGATGTCTGGATTCATTCAGTGCTTATTTCCCGACCCCCACACGTGCCAGCATTGCTCTGTCCCTGACACACAGGGCATGTTGCCGGGTGCGTGGAGCTGACTCTGTGGTGGACTCTGTGCATCTTGACCAGCCATCGGTTTTACGGGCCAGCGGGGCCCAGGGGTCTCGATCCTAATCCGGGTGCTGCAGGAGGGAAGGGATGTCCCTCAGCAGAAAATAAAATTTGACCAAAGGACAAGCAAAATGGTCAGCCGTGACGTGACCAGGCCGTCCAGCCCTCTTCCAGGGGAAGGCAGGAACCGGACCTGACAGCCGTGGGTAAACTGAGTCACGCGCAGAGGGGCCTCGGCTCCCCAGGAAGCGTTTCCAATCTCCAGAGCAATCTCTTTGTTTCACCATCATTTAAATTTTGCAAAGACGAAAGGTCCCCACGCAGCTGAGCTCTTCAGTTCCCTCTCGGCAGCTGGGGCGCGCAGCAGGCTCCCCGCCGCTTCCCAGACAGTAGCCCTTTAAGTTAATGCCGGGCGATGGGGCGTGAACCACAGTTTCCCCTTTTTAAGGCAAAACAAAACAGGACCAGCTGCAGGGGGTTTTCCTCCCCACCCCCACCCTCTTTCCCAAGCAAGTTTTTGTTTTCTTTTGACTGTTCTGATGCTGCTTCAGCGTTTTTCTGGCGGAGGAAATGCAGAACCGGGAGCTGCTGCGCAGGAAAGGGCCTCTCTCCCTCCGAGGGGAGGCGCATCCCCGAAGGTCAGCTTCTCCGCGCTCGGCCGCCTCGGAGTTTCTCGTCTCCACGGCGGATCCGCAGGCCATGCCGCCACCTAACTGCTCCGAGCACAGCGTGGCCGTGGAAGTGGCCGTGGCCTCGCTGCTGGTGCTGGAGTGCGGGCTGGGCCTGCTGGGCAACGCCGTGGCCCTGTGGACGTTCCTCTTCCAGCTGAAGGTGTGGAAGCCCCACGCCATCTACCTGTTCAACCTGGTGGTCGCCGACCTCCTGCTGACCCTCTGCCTGCCCTTCCTGGCCGCCTTCTTCCTGAGGCACAAGACCTGCAGCTTTGGACACGTGTCCTGCAAGATCCTGCTCTTCCTGTGGTCCCTCAGCCGGGGGGTGGGCGTCGCCTTCCTCACCGCCGTGGCTCTCGACCGCTACCTCCGAGTGGGCCACCCTCGGCTCAAGGTCAACTTCCTGACCCCTCGGGCGGCCAAGGGGATCTCGGGCCTCATCTGGCTCCTGATGATGGTCCTCAGCCACCAGAGCTTGCTCGTGCCGGAGGCCGAGTGCCCAGGTTCTGGCCCGTGTGCTGGCGTCTCCTTCAGCCGCACGTGGCAGGAGGTGCTGTCCTTCATCCAGTTCATTCTGCCCTTCGGCCTCATACTGTTCTGCAACGCGGGCATCATCAGGATCCTGCAGAAGAGGCTCCGGGACCCAGACAAACAGCCCAAGCTGCAGCGGGCACGGGCGCTGCTGGCCACGGTCGTGGTGCTGTTCGCACTGTGCTTTCTGCCCAGTTTCCTGGCCCAGGTCCTGCTGGCCGCCTCCCGGGGCTCGGGCAGTTGCAGGGTCCGCAGGGCGCTGGTGCACACGTCCGACGTGACCAGCAGCCTCACGGGCCTGCAGAGCGTGCTGAACCCCGTGGTGTACTGCTTCTCCAACCCCACGTTCAGGCACTCCTACCGGAAGGTCCTCTTCACCCTGCGAGGCCGCGGGCAGGAGACCCAGGCCCCAGGCGACCTCAGAGACTCCGACTCCTGAGGGGTGGCCGGCTCCTGAGTCCTGGCTTCGTGGGACCACCCGGGACCATCAATCCGAACCTGAGGCTGCTCTGCAAAGATCGGGCCACAGACTCAGCAAAACTGCAGCCAAAGTTGTTTTGTATTTTGTTTGCCGGGATTTCCTTCTGCTGCTTCACATCACAGAGCAGCAAACCCAGGCCAGGAAGCTGCCAACCCCCCCCCCCCC